TTAAATAACCAAAAAAAACGAAGTGTGGAATGTTGGACACTTCATGCACTCAACTGTCGCAGCTTTAATTACGTAACGAAGGGGGAGGGGCTATCAGACTCCGATTATAAATGACAAAATAACCTTATATAATTCATACACTACATGGTTGAGTACATAGTGCATAAGTACATAGTGTATGAGTGCATAGTGTATAGTGCGTCATTTGGGACGCAGCTTTTGACTCATTCAGACTTAGCATTTGTCAAGTGTCGATGTAGTTCAATCACTCACCAGTAGAGGGCACCAGCAGACGGAGGCGATGGCCATGATCAGAATCAGCTGCACCATCATCTCCACTTCATAGTCTCGTCTCCGCTGAGCGCTGTCCTGTCCGCAACACACCCTCAGTAGGGTGACGACGCTCACCGTGTTGAGCAGGAACGACACGGCCAGCGACAGCAAACCCACGAGCGAGAAGATCAAACCGAAGGTCATATCCAGCGGTCTGGAGCTAATGTTGAGGAAGCACCAGGAACCGGGGATCTGGAGATGGTAGCTTCCCAATCCGGCCAACGGCAGGAGACTGATGCAGCCGGCCGTGACCCAAACCATGGCCACCGTCGAACACGCTCTGCTGTTGGACACGGCGGTGGAGCGGGCGAAGGGTCGGTTGATCCCCACGAATCGCTCCACGGCCATCGCGGCGCCGAGAAGCAGCGGGCAAAGGCCGTAGAAGACCATCGACATGCCCATGAAGTTGCAGAAGTGGCAATGAGGGTCCAGTTGGCGCCAGTTGAAGTGCGTGATGTGGAAGGACACCACGATGGACCCGGTGACCAACAGCCCCATGAAGTCGGTGAACACCAATCCGCCGAGGAAGAGCAGGAACGAGGAGCGCGTGCGGCTCTTGGTGTGGTGGAAGGTCTTGGCCAGAACCACCAAAGCGAAGAGGTTGGAGCTCAAGCCGAGGCCGCTGAAGACTGCCGAGAAGTACGCCGAGGCGATGGTGTGGTTGTGATTGAAAGGCGGGCTGTTGATGGAGAAGCAAAGCGGAGTCGCGTTGCTTGGCGCTGATGAAACCATGATGGAGGGGATTGAAGACAGGTTTATTTCATCCTGTGAACCTGTGATGGAGAAAAACCATTGGTAAACGCTTAATAAATGTTGCCACGCACTCAGGGGCGGACTTAGTGATTTGGGGGCCCTAAGCAAATTCTAGGTATGGGGCCCCAACACAATAACTATGTGCTCTTTTACGCCTAACCCTTATTTTGCTCACTCGCTCTCATAGTTTATTTATCCCTTCACAACCAGTAATAAGTCAACCTGATGCTGTTCTAAAGCCATATTTGGCTACTTTAAAAAAAAAAAATGCTTGCACTTGTCCAGTTAATAAATTGTAAACTTTTTCAATCTTTTTACAAACATGAAATCATCCCATGCAACTCATTCCATAGTCCAAGTGTTCTGAAAGCATAAGGTAGGGTTTGCCGAGAAACAACTCAAAAATGTAATCTATTATTAAGCAAAAATCTCCAGTCATTGCATTCGTACATTTATACGAGTGCATTTTATACGAGTGCATTTATACGTGCATTTTATAGTTCATTGCGATCTCAAGTCGTTCCGTTAATAAGCTCTCTACACCGCACAATGAATCTCTTATTTACATCGTCTCTACACTTTGTTATAATGAGAGGATTCCCGAGCTTGCAGAACTCAGCAAACTCGGCATTTTGAGCAGTGAGTGGATTCTAACTTAAACACTTCTGGTCATTGCGTTTAACAGATATGTCTGTGATTGGCTACATTGTTCAACGCTGCAAATATGTTTCTGCAATATCAGACGGGGCCCCCTGATTCCCTGGGGCCCTAAGCGGGCCGCTTACCTCGCTTATTGGTTAAGTTCGTCCCTGTACGCACTGTATGGTCCAGGATTGTGTACTAGCGCGTGACTCATTTGGTTCTGAGACATTGTTTTGCTAGCAAACGGAAAAAACGAGTCACATCCCTGCGTGTGTTTTCCCAACATCTCGTGCAATAGTACAGGACGCTTCATTCTAAGCAGACGTTCGACAGCACACAGAAACTAAAACATGGACTGTAACGGACGAAATGTGCTCATGCAGTGTCCACCGGCGTTTTAGAGCAAACTGTCGTTGATGTCAACAGGAAATGTCTTAGGAGCATTCAGATCTGTCAGATCGTTACAGCAATAAACAAGCCCTAAACATAACATTTGCTAAAATGAAAGCTTTAATAAAATTATTTGTATAAATTATTAATAATCTATAATAATAATAATATTTTACTAAGTGATATAATTCATAAAAGTATGACCAAACAAATTCAGCTTTGGTGAGCATAAGAGACTTATATCATAAACATTCAAAATTCGACCCAAACTTGTGTATATACAGAATAATTAGTGATATATTTTTTATTAGTTTAAAAAAGTATTACATTAATATTTATTATTATTATTAATAATAAATTATTAAAATAATAATAATAATAATTGCTCATTTTTTTCATTTTAACATTTTAATTTTTTGATACTGGCAAAACATTCTTCCATTAAGTAATAGAATTAATTAATTATTAATTAATATTTTTAATAATAATAATAAATATTTTTATTACTATTATAAAACATTCTTCCATTAGGTAATATAATTAGCCTAACCTTTTATTATTGTTATTAAATAACATTCATTATCCATGCATATTTTGGATTCTACTGTCTGATTGGATAAGACACATTCAAAGCTGACCGCACATTATAGCCTATATTAATGAGCCAAGCTGCTATGAAAGACTACTTCATTCTGATTATTAATATTAATAAATGCAACTATTTACTGAACATTAGTCTCTTATTAGTGTCATATTATCAATCGAGGCCAGAAGTTACAGTGACTTTAACACCTTCTTCTCATTAATATCCTTTAAAACCACTTTAATGTGCGTCCTTGATTGCTTTATTTTGCATCATGCTAAAGCTAACACTGAAAATAATGCATACTAATGCAAAGATCTGAATTTCTACAACATATTCAACCCTCAAGCTTTTGCAGAGGTTCAGTGGACCTGCATAAAAACATCCAGATCTCAGAGAACTTTTTTGAGCCGCATCTTATTGAAAACACATAAATCCCACAGGAATGTGAAGTGGATCCACTCCACTCTGGCCATTAAACATGAGTGTCTTCATCCACAAACCTGTTCAGATCGATACCTTAAGTGCCATTATTTATCATCAGGAAAAAGCCTAGACATCTCAATGCATTCGGTGGCATTTCCACTCGTAATGGCCACTAATGAGGATACAGTGTACAGAAAGGCTGCTGATGGTGTTTATGTGTCTCTCTTAGCAGCGTAATTCCAAAACAAACTCCATTAGCCAAACACAGAGCTTTCCACAGCGCGCTCCTAATCCAATCCCATCAGATGAGGCTCAGAAATCAGCTTTGCGAATGTCAGCGCCAGGCAGTGGGCTGGGAAATCTGTGACTGGTTTGCATGCATGTGCATTCACATCTTTAAAGTATTTTTAGCATTTGGCTGCATGCAGGAGTGTTAAACATCAGCAAAAAATGTGATTACGACTATATGCTGTTTTGTAGTATAATCAGAGGCGGACTTAGCCATTAGGCAAAGGTAGGCGACCGCCTTGGGCCCCCAAAAGCCAAGGGCCCCCTCAAATGCTTTTTATATACGAGATGTGCGTTCAGTGGTTGCTGTGGTGTTTATTTCCGCGATGCAGAAAACAGGGACGGAATCCCGGAATCCTTTAATAGAAACGGAATTTACTGTGTATCGCGGAATGTGACGGAATGACTGACGCAGGCGTGCGGTTTTGTTTATTACTGAAGCACACGCAACACTTGCGTCATCTGTAGTAAATTATATTTTTGCCATTTCATATTCACATACACTAGTCCATATCGCGGTTTGATTGAAGTGTACTGAATTGCATTTGATTTATTCATTCAATATTTGACGAATTCCGTGACATTGCTCGTTACACAGTAAACTTCTGTTGTGTAGCATTTTGAA